ACCAACAACAAATGGTCCACCCCCTCCAGGCCGCCACTGATGGCGTTCTGCAGTGGCCTGATTCAGTTGGAGGGTGCTTCAACCCTTCGAAGTCTTGCACCATGCAGCTCTCTCCTAGAAGTCGTGCAGAACGTGCCCACCCTACTCATCCGACTCCGCACCTGAGAATGCAGGGAGATAACGTGTCTGATGTAACGACTCACCGACATCTTGGAGTCATCTTGGACTCTAACCTCGACTTCACCAACCACGTCGCCACCATCACGACAAAGTTTCGCCGACGAGCGGTCCTGCTGATCCACATGACCAAGCGTATCACCCCAGCCGTAGCCAGTCACTTGTACACTGGATCTGTTCGACCTGTAGTTGAATACGCCTCATCCTCTGGCAATTTCAACTCTCCAGTGCTCAAGCTACTACCCTTGAACGGCTACAGGCAAGAGTGGCACGCGTGATCCTGCGGCAGTATGGCGTGTACCCTCCTCAAACGGAGCGGAAAGCCTCATTTTTCGCGCACCTCCAGTGGCCCAGCCTCGCATGGCGAAGACACATTCAGTGCCTTCTTGAGCTCCATCACCTCATCAATAGCCAGATGACGACCATGGAGGACCTAGGCTACTCAGTGTCAAACAGCGCCAGGCGCCCCTAACAAGTAACATCTATTCCCACCCCGGCTAGAGCCAGCACACACACCCGTGCCACCTTTCTCTTTGTCACCACTGCCACATGGAGCTCCCTCCCAGCTGCCATTCGTACTGTATCCAGCCCAAAAGGTTTTACCGCTTTTGTCCACACACACTTTGCTATCACCCGTTATGAGCCCTCTGGTTTCATTCCACGTAGAGTAGCGATGTCATAGAGCACTGTGTTACTACCACCCCGCATCATTCTATTTCCTATTTTCTCCTCAGCTTCTTCTTCATAAGCTGTTGACGGAGACTCCCTCGATTTAGGCTAAGACCTGTGGAGAATCCATAAATACAAAATACAAATCCCTCACTAGGGTCCAGCGGATAGTGCTCCGAAAATGTTCGTATAATGCTTATCATAATGCTCCAAAAACTACCTCATATTAATGCTGACTATAATGCTTCAACAAGGGCTATAATGCTCTTGGTTTGGAACAAAAATGGAAGGAAGGCTGCACATTGTCAAACTTCCAGGAAAGGATGGATATAGTCGACTGCCTCTGAAGCTGCTACAATAGCTCTCACGAGCTCCACCACTTCTTAGCACTATAACACATGATCGCGTCTCCATTGCCATTGGCTGCTCTCCATGGCAACTTTGATGCAAGGCTGTGGCTGAATAGTGGGTGTATCAAATATTTTCCCTTGCTCATCCATGTAGTGAGAGGTGAAACCATTATTGCTGGTGATCATTTGGGTGCTGAAAGCTTATCATGGGAAGTGATATTCCTGCCTGCAGTCTAGTGCAGACAAGCTGTCACTGTTTACACTCTGTGAATAATGTTTTCATCTGAAACAGCTCACGTGAGGCCAGTTCCTGAAAGCCGATCACAGATCGAGATCCCTCACATTTGCAGAGACCCTGAACACACGTGGCCAGTGTCAGAAGTTATTTTGCCGCTCTACATCCTCTGCTTGCGTGTCTTCTTCTCCTGAGGTTGCGGTTGGCCACAATACTCTTCTTTTCTAATAGCGGTTGACTGTAGGCCTTGCATTACAATCGTCCACGACGAACTGTACGTGCTTCACCAGGAGAGAAATTCTAGTTCCTTTCGAGCCTGGTGAGTTGGACTCGGCAAAGGCAGTTATTTGGAACACGCTCTTTCTGTTCATAGCCGCTCCTTCATCCAGGTCCAAATTTATCAATGGATCAGTGTGTACTTCAGTATCGCAAGATATGCTATGGCCAGAGCCTAAGGCATAACACTTTTTATTAACAGGAAAACTCCTCTTCGCCTGTTTGATATTCACTTCGGGTACGTCTAGTCTCCTCCATGGCTCTCCATGATTTCTAAAAAAACTCCTCGTAAATCATCGTTACGGATTTTGTGTAACAACCTCAGTTGCAATGTTGGACATGCTACATCACATGTACATGTACATTTACCTGACTACTAGTACATTACTACATAAAGACTTTATGTAGCAATGGCATTATGTGGTCAGGCAAATGTAGCAATAGTGCTAAAGGTGTTACGTGTCCACACCATCACAAAGTCATGTGCCGGAAAAATACATGGCGTTGCACCTTATGGCTTTAGCCGATTGTTGCCAAAAACCTGAGATTTCCGTACATTATCCACTATGAAACTCGTTATGCCGCTCAAACCTCACATAATGCTCATCTTGTTCCTTTCTAATGGCGCTCCATAATGATCTAATGCTCAGATAGTCATAATGTTGAATATACTGCCAACATTACCCGCTGCACCCTATCCCTCACACGCTCGCTAAGCTCTAATTTGAGCCTCTGGGTAAGCTCTAATTTGAGCCTCAGGGTCCATAAAGGGATCCAGACATGTATGTCATTTTTGAGCATTTTGAGGTACCTATATCATGACATTCCTGTACCCCAGCAGATCACTCTGTAAAAAAACTAGGTCCAAATTCCAAAACCTTTATCGTTCCCAGCGTTATGGATGCTTCAATAAGTGATTTATACATCGCTTTATACGGAAAACTCAACTTGCAAATGCATTTTTCTCAATACTGCGGGAAACGACATATATGTACATGTAAGCCCCCTCTTCAGATCTAGAGGCTCATTTATGCTGTCGCAATTAAATGTGTGGAGGTGGGCCGGAGAGTGCAACTGTGGCGTGGTCACTGTGTTGGTTGATGTACATGTAAAACATTCCTTTAAAATTACGGTGCCGTTATAATTATTATGCCTTCAGAAATTAAGGTGGCGTTATGCCTTCAGAAGGTCAAAAACAATAACTCCGAAAATTTGAATGAGATCGGAGCATTCTATGTTGAGATATGGGCTATTGAATACATTGCATAAATTACGAAATTCTCCAATAAAAGTCCCTAATAGGATAAAGCCGGAAGAAAAATTGGAACTATTTGGTATTCTTTCTGGTATGTTTCATGCATGTCTGGTATTATTATCACCGGTAATATGTATTAAGTAGTGGTTGCGACTTCGGCGATGATTTGTAAGAAAGGGTTTGCTCCCCACACCGGAGCTCGCGCTATTCCGCCGACGTTACTTGACACTTGACTGACTCACGACTGAAAAGAGCACACGAGAAGTCCATCGAACCTTCGTATTCATATTTTTATTAGGGCGTCTACACAGACTCAAGGTCTTCTATGTGGATAAGGAAATGGAGCAGAATTCAAGGAAGTGCCTGCCAATAAGGTTGGTATGGTTCTGCTAATTTCACTGCTTTTCAAGCAGAATCTGCCAATTTTCTAAGCTACCTACTAGTTACCTACTATTCAACATTTAAAAAAGTGGCCATGGGGTGGCATGTGGGGCGGCCTTTTCGAAAGGACTTAGACGTCCGGGTGTTCTTAAAACTCTTTTTTAGGCCCAGCGGAATCAATACACTGGGTTGGTCTGGCCATGGCCGGACCAACCTTTTGCCTTTGGCCACCCAACGTGTGTTTGACGCTGACGAGGTCATGTGCTGTGTGTGTACCCTCCATGTCATACGCAAAGTGTGAAAGGCTATGTTATGGCCGGATCAATCAAAAACTGCGTCCGCCGATCCTGCGAACAGTGCATAATAGAGAAGTGGACAAAGCATCGTTCGTCAACCTTGTGTTTTGTGCCACCGATGGTCAAGGCAAGGTTGCCTCAGCCTGGTTCAAGCGAGTTGCGTCCATGGCTACCGAGAAGCGGAAGGAATCTTTCTCTATTGTGGTTGCTCACCTCCGCTGTTGCATAGAGTTTGCTCTGATTAGATCTGCAATCACCAGTTTATGCGGTCATCGATCCAGGCGAGCACCCAGGCTTTGGATCACCACTACACCAGCTGGAGCACGCATCAAATCTACTGGATACTGAGTGCCGTCTGGTGCAACCTTAGGACCCTAGCGCTGGGATTTTTTAGTCACCACTTTATAAGAGAGAGAGAGAGAGAGAGAGAGAGAGAGAGAGAGAGAGAGAGAGAGAGAGAGAGAGAGAGAGAGAGAGAGAGAGAGAGAGAGAGAGAGAGAGAGAGAGAGAGAGAGAGAGAGAGAGAGAGAGAGAGAGAGAGAGAGAGAGAGAGAGAGAGAGAGAGAGAGAGAGAGAGAGAGAGAGAGAGAGAGAGAGAGAGAGAGAGAGAGAGAGAGAGAGAGAGAGAGAGAGAGAGAGAGAGAGAGAGAGAGAGAGAGAGAGAGAGAGAGAGAGAGAGAGAGAGAGAGAGAGAGAGAGAGAGAGAGAGAGTGAGTGAGAGTGAGTGAGAGACAGAGAGAGAGAGAGGGAGATAGGTAGAGAGAGAGACATGTATATGCTATAGAATGACGATTGCATAGCTTTGCGCAGGTCTATGTCATGTGCAGTGCCACCATGCTCTACAACCCAGGACCTGGGTCGTATCACCCGGTCCGGCCGGTCTGGCCTAGCTGGTGGATAATGCTGGCAGAAAATTTGTAAGAAATTTGGTACTTTTCTGGTGTGCTCATGCATGTTTGGTATGTTTGGTATGCGGATAAAGAAATAGAGCAAGTGCCTGCCATAAGGGTTGCATAGTTCTGCCAATTTCACAGTGCTTTTCGAGCAGAATCCGCCAATTATTCTAGCATTGTTTCCACCAAGGGCTAGTTCAGCCATGGCGGGACATTATAAATTAATATTTCAGGAAAGGCGTTGACCCACCCAGTTCGTGCACCCTGTTACATACCAGATCAACCAGGCAATATTCACTTTTCGGTCAAGTTTCTCATCTGGCCGGATCACCTGAAATACCGGTGCTGCAACGCTACAATGTAGATCAGTAGATGATCCTTTAAAACCCTTTTACCACTGCAGGGTACTGCACCACAGGCACCGCGAACACCACAGGGTGCGGGTCATCAAACAAACAAGCATTGCTCTGAAGCCGATCACTGTGACTTTATAGACAATACCAATGTGATCACGCAATACAAGAATAATGCACTGGCAGCCTTTCGCGCAACGCAAGACAGAACCCAAGGTCTTCGAAATGATGAGTGTGTGGGATGTGTTATGCATATCGTATTGCCAAAACCAAGATTGTCACATGTACAATACCGTGACGTCACTTCACAAAGTTGATAGACGAAACGTATGTACACGGAGGAACCATCCAGAGATACCACTATCAGTAAAGCACGTACGAAATAGTGGTAGCGACCTTCGCGATAATTTGATAAGGATCAGGTAGGGAAAGGGCTAGCTCCAGGGTGGGAGCAAACAACTTCCTTATTTATGTATATGCTCATGCAATTGTACCTGGAAGCACTATGCATTGGGTGAATCTGACAGCACTGATATTCACTTTACATGTACATGCTCATGTAACTGAACTTGGAACGGTATTATGCATTGGGTGAATCTGACAGCACTGATGCTGATCCTGATCCTGGTACTGACACTGATGGCTGCTGACATTAGTGTTGATGACTATACAGATACTGGTACAATGCTAGGCGTATTGATGATAAGATCTAGTCAACTAACTCAGCTATCTAGAATTGTCCTTAAGGAAAGCGAAACATTTACTAAACAAACATGTCAAATCAGAGTGATTTTGTCACCCATGTCGTAGAGTGCGACAATCCAGTACAGGTTACCTGGGACGTTCGGGATGGTTTCTGTGGCGCCCGTTCTCTCGTGTCTACCAGTGAGAGTGTGACGATCATGATCAACGGTTAGATGAATGACGTCACCAGTTTGCCAGCGTTGACCAAGGGCTCTGCCGGTATGGTGGGCCTTAGCCTTATAGCCGTACCAACCAAAACACTGTGTGTTGTCCTGTTGGTAGTGTTCCAGGTTTGGATTACTGGATGAACAGGCAGAGAGGAAGATGTGACCACTGGCGGTCTTGTCAATCCTCACCTTCAGTGTACTGCTACCAGTATCAGTTGCCATAGGTGTGGTACATGCTGATGACCAACCACCACCGGCACTGGTATTACTCAGTGAGCGACCATCATTGGTGATAATCAACCGGCTACCACAGCGATTTCCATCAAACCTCGGAGTCGCCGACACCACCAGCCTCTGTGGACTACCCTTCAGATGGACACAGCCAATCTTGGCTGAGATGTTGTAGTGGCCAGTTTGCAATGGAGTATTTCGGGCCTGTATTTTTCCGGTAGCAGGTGTAAGCTGTGTGCACATGGTGGTTGTGTCCTCATCGAGACCGGATATTGATATCTCCAGTCCAATGTTTTCCAGTTGCTCTTGCTCCACGATACTTGGGACAGCACTGTCTGGTAGCTCTATAGAGATGTTCAAATGATCGTTAAGAAGTGCATTGTCGGGACTCTTCAGTGTGCCATCAGCAACATCCGCCACTGCTCCCGTCTTGCTGATGTCATTGAGTAGTGATGTGGTGTCCGTCGTGCCAAACACAATGCCACTGGTGACACATGGCTCTTTCTCGTCCTCCGCAGTTTTCATGGTTTTCACGATAGACGCATCCACCCAGGACCATACACGGAGAAGCTCAACATCATCCTCAAACGACTGCAGAATGCTGGCAGCACTCTCTCCTTTCGACACACACTCCTGAAGTTGGTGTAGTTGCTTCTCCAGAAGTTCCAGTTTCTTTATCCTCAGCTGATCGAGCTCGGCTAGAAGACAGTCTTCTCGTTTCTTCACAGCCTCTATCAGTGGCTTGAAGAAAACTGAAACCTTCTCTGAAGCATACTCTGTTTGACTGTGTACCATTCGAATGCTCTTCTCAACGGTCTCTATGGCACTGCTGACAACACCATCACATTCTGATGTACAACAGCTCAGCTTAGTGGAAAGTGTGTCACGAGTGTTCTGTGCAGCACTGGCAATATCTATCACCTTGTGTTCATCATGTCTGTGTGCCCCAGTATGTATGCACTGTGAACACAATAGCTGATTGCAATCCAAGCAAAACTGTTTCAGCACTTCATTCGTGTGTAGAGCACATCTATGCTGGACCACTCTGCCACTGCTGCTGCCACTGCTTGTTGACCCAGTCTCTGTGATGGATGCTGCAGACAGTGGGTTGATAGTGTGGCCTCTGCCTGATTTTGATCTCAGGTGACCTGTGCCATGATACTCACAAAATTTCACGTCACAAATCTCGCAAACTACTGTAGCCGCTGTGTCATCCCAGCACTCATCACACGTTGGTGAAACAGGACTCCGCTGCAGTTGTCCAGTCGCTCCAATTACATCTTTTTCTTGAACGACATTGGGTAGCGATCGTAACGGCTGTGTACCAACAGGCAATTGCGTAGCGGACAAACATTGTGAACACTTTATGCAGCCATCAAATCCCAAGCTGTTCTGCAGGCACGGCACACACAGTGCGTGCAAACATGAAACAAACTTTAGAGTGGTCGTGGACGACCCACAACCACCACACTGCACTACCGAGGACATGGTCTCATCGAACGATGTAGATATTAATTGAACTGACTGAGGGCATGTTCGATTGGTTTAGGATCGGGATCGGGATCCAGATCTCAGATCCCTCGGATCCTTCAGATTCAACTGAACACTTTATCTTGGACCTTGACTGTTGCCATGTTGAAAATGGCGCTCACAAGGCACCCAAAAGGGTGAACGTCGTACTCATCGCGTGCGTCGTACAAAAAGTCAACAAGCTCCATCTCCATCCACGTGTGCGTACCACAATGTGTACAAAAATGATTTTTACCCGCCATATACGCACAAAGGTCACATTTGGATCCGTTGGATCCGATCAACCCTGCTCCCCGAGGTGGGTTGACCGGATCCAAATCCGAAGGATCCGGATCCGGATTCAACCAATAGAAAGGGTGCGAATCCAGTGGATCCGGTGGATCGGGATCCCGATCCTACCAATCGAACATGCCCTCAAACTCGGAGCACTGCCTGGTGGGACAATTTTTTACGTAGAGGGAATGATTCCGGCATAGTGCAGGCCGGACACCTCTCTACTGCTCTAGGCTCTACTGGCAGTACTGCCTAGTAGTAGTACTACCGTCTGCAGTACTGGCTTGACGTGTAGTTGTACATGATTGTACTTGTAGTTGTAGATCTACTGAGTACTGTGTGTGTAAGTATTAGTTGTAGTCTGGGCAACCGTTCCTTGAGCTGTAGCCGTGTACGTGTACGGTGTAGCCTGTATACAGTGTACTGCATGACTGTAGACTGTAGACTGTAGTCTGTACTATACATGTAGTGTAGGGCTAGCGACACTGGCAGAGGTTCTACACAGCCACACGTACTGCCTACTGACTGGCAGTAGACCATGCATGGAGCATGGTTGGTTGTAGCAAGAGTACATGAAAACCAGAGTGTGCAGCTTGGTGCCTTTTCTGCTATGGGTGTCTGTCACGGCGAAATTCCGTGATTACATCATATTTGGCCCAGATCTGAGGCGGGAAATGGCGTAGTGCGTACAACTGAGCTGCAGTTGTGCAGAAAGAGACCTGCTTGAATCCTGCTTGTACGCACTACATCACTAAAATGATGTAATCACGGAATTTCGCCGTGACAGCAACCCATCCGAGCTGCACACTCTGGTTTTCATGTACTCTTGGTTGTAGACCAGGTAGACAGTCTCGGAGGCTGAGACGCCCCATGCCAACATAATCAGATGTCAGTCAGAGTCAGAGTGATCTGGCGATTTGGACCTGCAACCTGCCACGGCCAGTGCTAAAGGGGAAGTCCGGTGAAAAATTTAAATTTCAGGGTTGGTAGAGTTTCGGCCGCTGAGTCGAATGGTGTTGGTCCCACATGTCCCCGACAAAGCGTTCTCGAGATATTTCCGTTTGAAAAACTGAGTTTCGGGGGCTGCGCCATGACGTCATGCGGCCGCGCCACACCCTCCGCAACGTCATAGCGTGCAGCTAGGTCAAAAGGAGTGCGTGAAAGCAATAGTGTCAGTGCTATTTCAAATGATTTGGCGACCCATAGTAGGTGGTGCAAGCGACTCCGAAGACGTAACTCCTTGTGAGAGTGAGGATGCAGCCATGGCTGACCTTCATGAGTTCGGTCTGGGGCTGAGAGCCTCGGTATTCAGCTGAAGAAATGGCCGCGCGGGTCGGTCAAGAGTGAGCGCTACTGAGTTTCCGACTGATGAAGAAGCAGCAGCTATTGCAGACGAAGCCGATATAATTATCAGCTCGCTGGAGAGCAGAGTCGCCAAAATGGAGAAGAGTGATGCGAGTGCTCTAAGACTAAATGTTGTTCCATACCGATTCGCTTAGACTCCAGTAACCTGCCACATGGTGATGTTTTGGTGCGAACTTGGCGTATTTCGGACACTCAATTGGAGAACAGTGCAGGCTCTTTGAACTACGTGCACGACTCTTCGCTCGCAACGCTACGGGATCTGAAAGTTCTAGGTCCGGGAGCTGTTCGCTGTTTTGTCACTTGTCACGGTTGTGCACTCATCGCTGTAGCATAAAATAATGAGGCGGGAGCGGAAAACTAAAATTTTCTTTCTCAAAGCACAACCACCACCGGCAAGGAGAAACGCTCGTTCTCTGACTACACGACTGATACGAGTGTAGTACATGACAAGTCCGTGTGTTGACTAGTTTTCTGAGTCTTGTGACTCGAGTCTTGTTGTACCTACCCCAGCATGGCAGTGCGGGAGTAGTTCCGTGTGTGATGAGTTTGTTGACTACACTACAGGTAGCATGCACGCAGCGCATTGCTAGAGCCGTAGATAGAGGCCAGTGCATGTCGACGGAAAAAGTCCAACTCGGAAACGGCTAAAATACGGTATAACCTCGAGGTTTACCGAGCTGAAAATCACAGGGTACGTAGTGTTTGTAACACTGAATCGAATGGTCTTGGTCCGAAGAAGCTGCGACAAACGGTTCCCCAATCGAACGCGCTCCGAATATGGCCGTTTTTGTACACATCTAGATGGTGTGGCCACCTGGCTGCACGCTGTGACGTCATCACCTGGATCTGGGTGAGGCGCGCTCAAATCCGCACATGTTCGATTGGGCGTATCTGACGAACCATAGGCCGCAGCCTCCTCGGACAAAGACCATTCGACTCAGCGCCCCGAACTCTACGGACTGTGAAATTTAAATTTTTCACCGGACTTCCCCTTTAACTGAGAGAGTGAGAGGCAGACTATCGCATTTCGTTGCCACTTCCACTGACAGTCATCACATTCAGTGACAGGGAGTCTGCCCGAGGAAGCTGAGAGTGAGAGTGAGACGCTCCCTTCCTCCTTTATTCTCGCGCACTTCCACCGAAACTGGGTGACTGCGCCCTAATATACTGCGCCCTACTATACTGCGCCCTACTATACTGCGCCCTACTATACTGCGCCCTACTCTACTGCGCCCTACTATACTGCGCCCTACTATACTGCGCCCTACTATACTGCGCCCTACTATACCGCGCCCTACTATACTGCGCCCTACTATACTGCGCCCTACTATAGCTTGAAAGTGATGACGTCAAAAACGGCCTGGGAGTAGTAAGTTGACATCAGATTTCTATTTTGGATCCACTACAATGTAAGGTGCAGGGTCCCTGGTAAGGTGTGACTTTGCTATTGCCTCAGTATGTGGGTCCATAGCAACCCGCCCATGTCGTATGCAGGTGCGACTTTTACTTCGCCAACACTGGCAACAGTTGTCACCACGCCCCCACTAGCCAAATCAGTCAGTTTCACTGGCTACATCACCTTGCGGTGAGTAAGATCGCTTGAAATGTGCTTGGATCCATACCAGGGAGTCGTAAAATACCATATTATGGTATTTTACGACTCCCTGATCCATACAAAAACTGGATCCAGGTGGATCCAGTTTTTGAATTTTTCAAATTGTTGCTATGCCATTGCTATGCTGTGAGGTAGCACTTTCAAGATCCACCTGTTGCAAAAGAAGGATCCACGAGCGGGATTCGAACCCAGCACCCCTGTCTTTCCGGGACAGTGCCCTACCGATTAGGCTACCGGGGATCACACACACTCATGGGTCCTTCTTGCTACACTGCTCCCCCGCCCCAACAGGCTGTGTCCTCACGCCGTACCTAGCTCGCGGGGGGTACGATGGGTCGTGGGTTCGAGCCCCACGTTGGGCGCCAATGTTGCAAAAGAAGGATCCACGAGCGGGATTCGAACCCAGCACCCCTGTCTTTCCGGGACAGTGCCCTACCGATTAGGCTACCGCCGTACCGGGGATCACACACACTCATGGCCATGGGTCCTTCTTGCTACACACCTGACCGTGCCCTACTACATGTACTAGTACTACAGTTGCGCTCGGTGAAATCCGGCCCAAAGTGCATAACTGACGCCCAGTACTGATGCGGCCCTTGACGCCCTCAAAGGTGTACAAGTGCTAGTGTGCACGTGTACCGTATGAACTGTACCAAACTTCAAAGTGTAAAAAACCGCGCCAAACAAAGACAAGTGTAACATTCATTTCAGTTCACTGTTCAGCACAAGTAAAGAAGACGGAGATCGTTTCGGAGCAGTTTATTTCATACACAGAGCAGCAGGGCTTCAATATTTTGTGTGGCCACCGTCTGCCTCGATTAGGGCTTCAACACGACGTGGCATTGACTCCACGTATGGCGGGGAAACCGTGTCAGGAGCCAACGAGTCCCACTCCAGGTGTAGTGCCTGCACCAGCTGGTCAGCATTCTCGCAGCGATGTGGAATTATTCTCTTCTTGAGAGGAGCCCACACATTGGGAATGGCCATGTCCTTCTTCTCTATCTCTTCTTGATCTTGAGCTGTACTTCGCGAGGCGAATGAAACAGGAAAGACATTTCGAAATGTTTTTATTTTTTTACACGTGCACTCCGAACTTTTACACGAGGTGCGTACAGTTGAGTTCGTACACACAAATCGCTTGTGATGTAATGGGAGCTGGCTTCGCGGCGCCGCCTTTCCGTCTTCAGGCCGGATTTCACCGAGCGCAACTGTAGTAGTAGATGGTACGCTTTCCAACGGCCAAAGAGAGTTGCCAAGGAAAGCTTGTGTCTTTGTGGGTTACTTGAACATTCGGGGCTCATGTAAAATCGCACTGATTTGGGGATTTCCCCTTTTTGCTTCAGCAAAAATGTTGTGCTTGACCGCATTCCTGTCACTTCGCAGTGGCTTTTCGTTGGTGCAGTTTGTATCCCACCCTCCCACCCCTGACTTCTGGGTATGTGTTTATATAATCTTATCGGCTTTCTTATTGGCCGTGTGGCTGTGGCAGTTACGACTGCTTTTCTTTTTTAGTTTAAAAACGTAGGGGTGGTGTGTGCGTCGCGGCCCTTTGTATGGTTACGTACAGCTTCAGATTGTATACATGTAGCTAGTGCCAGGGGAGTTCAATTGAATCTGCATGGGAAGAATACTACTGTATTGTGATTGAACTGAAGCTGGATGATGACCGTGTGGTGAGTGTGTGGGTTTTTTCAAGATACCGTCCTGGGGCAGGGATGTAGGTCCTTTAGCTTGGACGGGTGTTGTTACATTCATTGTAACATCTTGTCGTTTCTGTGTGCTTTGCTGTGCGACTAGCAGCAGTATCTTGTGCTTATTTTTCTTATCTCTATGCATCCAATTATGAAAAAAAATCAGGAAGAGGATATATCAATAAAT